GTCCTCCTCTTTTTTTTTTTTTTGTGCTGAGGAAGATTGGCCCTGGGCTAACATCCATGCCCATCTTCCTCTGCGTTATATGGGATGCCGCCACAGCATGGCCTGACAATCAGCGGTCAGTGCGCACAGGGGATCCAAACCTACGAACCCTCGGGCCGCCAAGTGGAATGGAGCACGCGCACTTAACTGCTACACCACCGGGCCGGCCCCTAAGATAACTTTTTAATACAGTCTTCATCATAAATCACTGACCTCTTCTTTTCATCAAGGAACATTTCCGTTTGGTTTTCTTCCCCTCTCCCTTTCTCAGTGCTGAGGCTGCCCAGTGTATATAGGACTGAGAAAAGGGAGAGGGAAAAAGACCAAACAGAGAAACATTTCTTAATGAAGTGGGGCGGCTGTATAGGTGGTGGGTGGGGGGTGGGGAGCATGTATTTCTGTCTCGGTGATCTCCAGCTTCTATTGGTCTTGGTCTCAATCTTCTCTGCCCTCCATGCCTCTATTGGGACCGAAGCACCAGTCCCCGCCCGCCCTCTGGTGGACACTATGTGAAATAGGCATCAAGCGCGTCACCATGGAGGAGGAAGGCAAGCCAGGGCCCCCTTAGCGCTAGTACACTAGCGCATGTCTGCTTGTCTGTGTCTCTCATCTTTCCATTCCTGCACAACTTATCTGTGTATATAGACCCACAGATTGACAAACCACCAGAGATTGACTCTGGGCTTAAATATTTTGAAGTTAATTTTTTTTTAAGTTAAACATGTCATAATTCAATTTACAGTGAGTTTCTTTTTTTTTTTTTTTAAAGATTTTATTTATTTATTTTTTTCCCCCCAAAGCCCCAGTAGATAGTTGTATGTCACAGCTGCACATCCTTCTAGTTGCTGTATGTGGGACGCGGCCTCAGCATAGCCGGAGAAGTGGTGTGTTGGTGCGCGCCCGGGATCCGAACCTGGGCCGCCAGCAGCGGAGCACGAGCACTTAACCGCTAAGCCACGGGGCCGGTCCTACAGTGAGTTTCTAGTGCAGTAAATGAAATGCTTTTTCAGTGCATTCAAAAACAGTGAAGGTGTCTCAGATACTGCATAATAAGTGTTTAAGAGAAAAAACAGGTTAAAATCAGTTAATATAGTCATTTCTGTTTTGAAACTCAGTAAATGCAGTTTGTAAAATTTGCTTTCTTTGATGATAAATGTAGCCCTCTTTGGGAGGCCACAGGTTAGTCTTTTCTCTGTGGTGGGGCTGCAGAGGAGAAGGTTCCTCCTGCAGCTGGGTTGGTTTCTGCACATGCAGTTGCAACCAAGATGCATTTACTAAGCACTCGCCTTCTGCGGGGGAGGAGAGTTCTCAACTCTGGGAAGCCAAGTTACTGACTGTGTTCTACACTTTGAGGGGGTGGTGAGGACTGTTCTTCTGAGAATAGTAATAATAATTGTAGCTAACAGGGAGCAGTTCAGTGTGCTAGCCACCGTACCAAATACTTCATATGTGTCTAGCCACTGTACCAAATACTTCATATGTGTAACCTCATTTCATCCTAACAGTAATTTTGTGAGTTATAGATACAGTTATTATCCCCATTTGACAGAGGAGGAAACTGAGGCTTATAAAGGCAAAGAAGTTGTCCAAGATCATTCAGTTGATGAGTGGTACCAGTAGGATTTGAACTGAGGCAAAAGGATAGGCAGGCTGTCCTCAGAGCCAGCACACTTACCCAGCACATAGCTGGGTGGCCCCTTGTGTACCCTTGGAAGGCCAAGGCCAGGAGACTATTCTAGCAGAGGGCAAATGGGCGCTTGGCAGACAGGCCGTTGGGGGTGCTTTTCGGGGAGGACTCCTCTGCCGAGGTAGCCCAGGTCCTGGTACCCTGGGGTCCAGGGTGAGGGAGGTGGCTGGGAGTGGGGCAGACCTGGGGCCAGGCAGCCCAGGCCTCAACTCCGCCCCACTCGCCTGGTCTGCAGCATGTCTTGTGTGCTGCTGTGCATCTCATCTTGTGTGCTGAGCTCCCTGGAGATCCTAGCGACATTGCAGGCGGCATCCCTATCCACGAGGATATTAGTTTACATGAGAAGATACAATTTGACAGTTGGGGGTGGGCGGCGGAAATCGCCATGAATGTTTTCTAAAAAGCATCACTTTTCCTGCTTCTCCCTGAGTGTATTTTTTCAGGAAATTCAAACCATTCCCAAGTCTGCACTGGCTTTCAAGAAGGGAATTACCGGGGGCTGTGGGGAAGGCGAACAGGAGAAAGGTGGTCAAAAGATACAAACTTCCAGTTATAAGATAAGTACTAGGGATGTAATGTACAGCATGATGACTATAGGTAACACTGCTATATGGTACATTTGAAAGCTGTTAAGAGAGTAGATCCTAAGAGTTCTCATCACAAGGAAAGATTTTTTTTCCTTTTTTTATATCTGTATGAGATGATGGATGTTAAGTTATTGTGGTAATCACTTCACAATATATGTAAGTCAAATCATTATGCTGTACACCTTGAACTTATATAGTGCTGTATGTCAATTATATCTCAATAAAACTGGGGGGGCAAAAAAAGCAAGGAATCACTTTCCTCCTGCCCTCACTGACATTGCCCTCCAGGCTGGCTGCCTTCCCTTGTCCTTGCAGCATATTTTCCCCATCTTGTGTATTTGTATGAATGTGCATATTTCTGCGGTCCTTCACTTTCATTGAATTCTCAAACCCCAACGGGGACATCAGAAGAATTCATGAGCAGTGCTGGTGGGCAGAATCTGCCTCACCCCTGCCCTGGGCCCTCTCCACTGCCAGCTGCCTGAACTGAGGGGAGATGCGCCAGCTCAGACCCTCCGCCTGTCGAGTGGCCTGAGAGGAGGAACAGGATCTCCCGTGTCCGAGCCAAACCCATTTTAAGCCACAATTACTGGGTTTCAATTCCAGCCCCACTTGGTCAGGCGTCATGTGTCCCTCCACATCCCTCCATGTAGCCATAGATTGCATGGCTGGTGGGGCCAGCAGCAAAGCAACGAGATGTCTGGGGCTCTGCTGAGGGTTGAAAGGACACCCATCATCTGTTCTTTGTATTGTCCTTCTGGTACCTAGGTTTAGCCTCCAAGGGGTACTGCAATCAAATGTGTACAATGGCGAGAGACTGTCACTCTTACCCAGAGGTGTGCTGGTAGATGCTTACAATGGCTCTCCAAAAATAAAGCCCTGGCTTACAGTGTTTGCCAGTTTCCAAGGTGTAAATACTCCTAAGCTCACCAACCTAATGTCACTAAATACAGAGTTGAGAGAAGATGGGCAGCAGCACACCTTTATATATACTTCCATGGATAGAGACAATAGATATAAACAGGATCAGAGTAAAATGTGGTAGAATGATTAGGAAGTCATATGTTTTGAGTAGTTAGTGCCTTTGTTTTTAATATAATTTAATTTTAAGTTTATATAATTTTCAGTAATGGCTGTGTTTAACAACTGGCTCACAGATTTCATGAATATTTAACAGTTGTGCCATGTAAGCTGCCGTGAGCTGGTTCCAGCACATTACTGCTCTTTTCTTCACCTGTTTCAAAAAATATTGTTTGGGGGTAGCAATTGGGTGGGGAGGCCTAGAGAGCCATGAGAAAGGGAGGACCCAGTGTGGATTCCCTGGGTGGGGGTGGGGGCTATGCATTGGGTTCCAGGTACCTAATCCTCTGTCCAGTGGCCCACTAGCCTGACCCACACAGCTGGGGAGCATCCAGACCCATAGTGAAGCATAAACGTGTGTTTGAGGACTTCTCCTTGGCTCAAACACTTTCGGCAGGTCACTTGAACATCAGCGAGGCCTCCCCCACCCCATTTAAAGATGATCCCCATGATGCACTCTCTCAGGCTCATAACCCCTGTCTGCCCTTTCCTTCAAAGCACTGTCCCCAAATGGTCATCACCATATTCACGTGGGAGCATCTGTGTTTGCTGCCATCTCTACTGGAAGCTCCAGGAGGGTGTGCTGGTCTCACTCCCCCTGGAACATCCGGTACCTGGTGGGCGACCAGCACAAGCAGGCACTCAGTGAATATTTGTGGAAGGGGAAGGGCCCGAGAGACTAGGCAGAGAGACAGGCAAGAAAACGAGGAGGCGGGAGAGGAAACAGCCAAAAGAGTTCATTTAACTTATTTGAGTTTCTTTGTCCAAGAGGAACAAGCTTTGGGAGTGTGCTGGGTACCCCTGGATCTTTCCAACTACAAGGGATGTATCAGTGAGGTATTCAGCTGCCAGTGACAGAGACCTGATTTTAAATGGCTTGAACAATAAGAAAAATCCATTACCTCACTGACAAGAAGCCCCCGGGTAGGGTGGCTCCACGTGGGTATTTTCAGCAGCTGGCGATGTCCTCAGAGGCCCCAGTTCTTTCCCTGTTTCTGCTCTGCCTCCTTAGGGTTTAAACTCTGCCCTCCGGCCAGGACCCCCACAGTTCCCGGGAGCTGGAGGCATCACTTGGATATAGTCATGTTCTACAGAAAAGGCATCAGTTCTTTCCTGTGTTGAGTAAGGAAACCTCTCCCAGAGGCCACATGCCCTGTCCTGATCCAGCCCTGCAAGGGCACTGGAATGACCAGCGGTTCTCAAAGTGTGGTGCCCAGACCAGCAGCATCAGCATCACTGGGAGCTTGTTAGAAACTGCGGCAGTGCCTGCGATCTGAGTTTTAACATGCTCTCCTGTGATCTGATGCTCGGTAAAGTTTAAGAACTGTGGCTGGACCATCATGACCCACCTTTAAGGGGGAAACACCTGAACTCAGCTGGGGCTCTGCTGAGAGGAACTGGGGAGACTGGTGAGGACTGGTCGGGTTGAGCCGTCCTCAGTAACTGGACCTGCAGATGGGACATTTTGCATCCACTGCCTTTAACCAGGGCCACGAAGCAGACAAGGCTTGGAGCCCTGTGATGAGAGGTGGGGGTGCCCAGGCATGAGCCGATGACTGGTCGCGTGTTTGACCCTCCTCACCTTTGCCTTCTCTCCTTCTCGCCAGCTACCAGAGATTCACTGACTGTTACAAGCGCTTCTACCAGTTACAGCCTGAGATGACACAGCGAATCTATGACAAGTTTATCACTCAGTTGCAGACATCTATCCGCGTGAGTGGCAAGAAGCCCAGCAGGTCCTGGCTTGGGTCCTGCCTCCAGATTGTCAGCCCCCTGAAGGCAGGGACCCTACCCTCCGCCCCTCTCTATCCTCAGTCCCTAAACTGTCCTCTGTGCCCAGCAGGCTGCAGTGGCAATTATCCCTTCCCTTCAAATGATGTGGGTATCCTAAATGCCCCTTCTCTCATTGCCCTGTGTTAGAATTCTGTGTTCATATGTCATCTCCCTCACTAGACCTTGTGAACCAGCGAGGGCAGGCCTGGGTCTCCCTCGTCTTCGTGTCTCCAGTGCCTGGTGCAGGGCCTGGCATAGGGGAGGCATTTAACACACTGTTGAATTCAATGGAACTGCCTACTACAGGGCATACAGGACAGGATTCCGTTTGTGTCTTTAAACACCTGCGATCTCTCTAGAGCGTGTTATTTCCATGCTGTTACACTCCAGAATGGGCCCACTAAGCATCAGAATGTATGAGCAGTATCAGCAAAGGGTGCCCCGGGCGTGGGGATAACGGCTAGGGCTGCAGCTTTCAGAGATGATGGGCAGGAGGAGAGTCTTGCCGCAGGCTCTTTTTAAGTGTTTTCCATTTTATACTTTTTTTTTAATTATAAAAATCACATGGGGCCGGCCCCGTGGCTTAGCGGTTAAGTGTGCGCGCTCCGCTACTGGCAGCCTGGGTTTGGATCCCGGGCGTGCACCAATGCACCGCTTCTCTGGCCATGCTGAGGCCGCGTCCCACATACAGCCACTAGAAGGATGTGCAACTATGACATACAACTATCTACTGGGGCATATAAAAAAATAAAATAAAAATCACGTGTTATAGGAAAGTTGGAATATTTGTATAAAGACACAGAACATAAATTAGCCATAATCTTACTAAGTGCTGGTAGCAGTTTAGCATATATCCACTATGGGCTTGTCTGATATCCTTATAGCTCTTTCCTCCTTTCTCTGCAGGAGGAGATTTCTGAAATCAAAGCAGAGGGGAACCTGGAAGCTGTCTTGAATGCCTTGGATACAATTGTGGAAGAAGGCAAAGACCGCAAGGAGCTGGCCTGGTGAGAAGGGGGCAGGGTGATGCCCCCCTCCCTCACAGGAGGGCTCATGGGGAAAGATGGACCCATAGGCATGAAACTGGGCTCACGGCCCCTGAGAGAGGACCCTGTGATAGGGACAGGTGGAGAGGACAAACACCAAGCAGTAACCCAAAACAGTGAAACAGTAGTCCCCTCCTGGGGAGGAGCACCCTGGGGCAAGTATGTGTTGTCCAGGGGTTTGAAGGGGACTGAGGGAAACCTTCCCTGAGGAGCTCATTTCAGGACCATCTGGCCTGTGAGAGAAAGGGTAGAGGAAGTGGGAGGAGGCAGAATGGGAGGTTTGGAATCTTATGTCGATTAGGCTGGCCTGGGCATCTGGTTTTTATTCATTTGTTCATTCAGCAAATATTTAGGGAGCACCTACTTTACCCCCAGTACTGTGTTAGATGCCAGAGATTCAGCAGTGAACGAGACACCAGAGACCTGCTCTCCTGGAGCAGGCATTTCAGTGGCAGCCCTGCTGCCTGGTATGTCCTGTGCAGGAGGGAGAAGGGGGCCCTAGGGCAGGGAGTGGGCCTGAGCTCCTCCCACCACCTCCCTCACCTGAATAGGATCCTAGGCCAGAGGGAGTAAATACCTTTTTTGTGATTTCCAATTTTTTTATGCTTTGTGACCTTTATACTTAAGACAATTAAGTCTTATAACTGAAAAAGAATTCTTTTTTGTGTGTGTGTGTGAGGAAGATCAGCCCTGAGCTAACATCCATGCCAATCCTCCTCTTTTTGCTGAGGAAGACCGGCTCTGAGCTAACATCT